ACCCGTCTTCTTTTTTCCGCAGAAACGGGTGATTCTTCCGTCCTTCTCTTCACCGTCGACACCTTCAATTTGTGCGGCACGCTTCTGCATTTATACATATGGCATTCGCTAATATTCTTCTTCTTTAAAACTGCAACAAAAGTGGAAAGACATCTTTCGATGCATTGCTCGTAATATATATATATTGATTATCTGTCTCCATGATGGAAGCTAGTAACAGACTGAGAGTTTTACCAATAATTTCACTTTTTATAACAACGGTATAGGAAAATAATAAAGAAGTAATGCTTAACCTTATTTATTAATCATAAGATGCACAAAAAAAAAACAATCAAGTACAAATACATGTCAGGTTAAAATATTAATTATAATTTTTCCAGGTGTTTCGACCGCTTCGACGTCCTTTCATCTTCCATAGGAGATCGCGGTCGCCGCTGCCTCTCACGCGTAATTTCACCCTCTTCTTCATCGTCATCATCATCATCATCTTCATATTCACCATCATCTTCATGTCGCATGCGTTGTTTCTTTTCCTTCTCAGGTCTTGGTAGAAGGAGAGGGTTTGCACACAGTAGCGAGACAATTATCTTCAACGGCATACACCGCGCTGCAAAACCTTGTAACAGCGTAATGTAGGCGTGGCTCCAACTTCCACCCTCTACTTCAACAGGAAATACAATTTCCCGAATATCCGTCTTCTGAAGCTCATTAAACAATGAATTGAGGCATTCGTCCATATTCCTCATCCGGTTCTCTAAACCATCACGAGCTAATCCATTAACATAATGTCTATCCGAGCTGGATCTTAATTGTTTCATGGCTATTTCATTGTGCTCAAGGGGTTTACCTGGCCCGAAATGGGCAATGAGGTAGATAATTACAGGTCCCTCATCACCTTGTTTCACACTAACGACTAATTGCTCTTGTAGTAGTATACATCCGTCTTTTTGCTTTGTAATAATCAGCGTATTCATATTTTCTTTCCAACACACCAGACGTGGCATAAGCAGTCGTCCCGCTGGCATTAGCGATGACACATACAGCGGTATCTTTCCATAACTCGTGTTGGAGAATACTTCCTTCTCTTATCACGAGCGGATATAAATAATCAGGCAGGTAATTCTCGCGGGGTAGACGAGGGCGCAGCTTCCGATAACACTCGTTCATCCTCTACATTAATCACCCGTCTGTACCGCCTGGCCGATTCAGAAGCAGCAGAGCTCCCACTCAAAGGCATTTCCTGAGCCATCTTCTTTGCACAAATCGAGGTTGTGATATAACACTTCTCTCGCTCACAACCTCGCTTTATACCAATGTCACTCATTCATGCATGTCGACACTCCGCCCACCTTTGTGCGTTATAATCATCTGCGCAGCTTTGTACACAATCGATAGCCCATGTCAAAAGCTATAGCTTGCTGATTGTATAAACTGCTCAGCTTCCGATATTTTGAAATCGCGCAAATTGCTTCTTCCTGGGAGATGTGTTTTAAGCCTTCAATAGCATCATCAACGTCCTGTAGAAAGGTTTGATCAGAGAGGTTGTTAAAAAAGACTCGATACGTCTCCCACAGAGTCACAATAATGTCGTGTTTGTATTGAGCTCGATAAAATTTCATCATCTCTCTCCGAAGCTCACCAGCAAGCAAGCATCCCAAAATAGTACACCATAACCACTGAAAACAATTAACAAATCAATAACCGAAATCATTACCCATAGTCAGCGGTGTCTAACACACGGCAGATGCTATAGATGGCTTACTCATTGTCCCCTCCCGCCCACATCGCAATATTCATCATGTTTAAACTTGTACCGAGATCGATAATTAATTATGTTACAGATGACAATGAAGTATAAAGGATCATAAAAACTCGTTATACAATATATGCTTTTATTTTCAATTGAATAAACAATACACACTTTACAATACAAAATAGTACATCACAACGATGACACACACACACACACACACACACACACACACACACACACACTCACTCACTCACTCACTCATTTAAGGTGTTTTCCATATCTTCACTTTTTTTCCCCCCACACAACATATGATGCAGGGGAAACAAAAATTTTAATCCGCGTCTGCATCACTACCACAGTATGACGTCGAATCCTCTTCGTCTCCTGTCAAGTCAATAACAGGTACTGCGGGCTCCGCGTCTGCATCACTATCACAGTATGACGTCGAATCCTCTTCGTCTCCTGTCAAGTCAATAACAGGTACTGCGGGCTCCGCGTCTGCATCACTATCACAGTATGACGTCGAATCCTCATCGTCTCCTGTCAAGTCAATAAGAGGCACTGCGAACGAGGGAAAACTCCTCCCTTCATGCGGCAACCCGTTACCGCGATCGAAAACGCTCAAGTTTAGCGGTTGCGTATATATATCGTCATACAACGCTTCCAACGGCAACCCCTGCACCCCTCCGGGGTAGTACGCAGGAGATGTAGGGCTTAATAAAAGGTGGAAAGCCTGCGGTTCTTCCCGCGGGTTTGCTTCACCGCTCATCGAACACGAGGCGGGGGCAACAAATTCCAACACCCGTCTTCTTTTTTCCGCAGAAACGGGTGATTCTTCCGTCCTTCTCTTCACCGTCGACACCTTCAATTTGTGCGGCACGCTTCTGCATTTATACATATGGCATTCGCTAATATTCTTCTTCTTTAAAACTGCAACAAAAGTGGAAAGACATCTTTCGATGCATTGCTCGTAATATATATATATTGATTATCTGTCTCCATGATGGAAGCTAGTAACAGACTGAGAGTTTTACCAATAATTTCACTTTTTATAACAACGGTATAGGAAAATAATAAAGAAGTAATGCTTAACCTTATTTATTAATCATAAGATGCACAAAAAAAAAACAATCAAGTACAAATACATGTCAGGTTAAAATATTAATTATAATTTTTCCAGGTGTTTCGACCGCTTCGACGTCCTTTCATCTTCCATAGGAGATCGCGGTCGCCGCTGCCTCTCACGCGTAATTTCACCCTCTTCTTCATCGTCATCATCATCATCATCTTCATATTCACCATCATCTTCATGTCGCATGCGTTGTTTCTTTTCCTTCTCAGGTCTTGGTAGAAGGAGAGGGTTTGCACACAGTAGCGAGACAATTATCTTCAACGGCATACACCGCGCTGCAAAACCTTGTAACAGCGTAATGTAGGCGTGGCTCCAACTTCCACCCTCTACTTCAACAGGAAATACAATTTCCCGAATATCCGTCTTCTGAAGCTCATTAAACAATGAATTGAGGCATTCGTCCATATTCCTCATCCGGTTCTCTAAACCATCACGAGCTAATCCATTAACATAATGTCTATCCGAGCTGGATCTTAATTGTTTCATGGCTATTTCATTGTGCTCAAGGGGTTTACCTGGCCCGAAATGGGCAATGAGGTAGATAATTACAGGTCCCTCATCACCTTGTTTCACACTAACGACTAATTGCTCTTGTAGTAGTATACATCCGTCTTTTTGCTTTGTAATAATCAGCGTATTCATATTTTCTTTCCAACACACCAGACGTGGCATAAGCAGTCGTCCCGCTGGCATTAGCGATGACACATACAGCGGTATCTTTCCATAACTCGTGTTGGAGAATACTTCCTTCTCTTATCACGAGCGGATATAAATAATCAGGCAGGTAATTCTCGCGGGGTAGACGAGGGCGCAGCTTCCGATAACACTCGTTCATCCTCTACATTAATCACCCGTCTGTACCGCCTGGCCGATTCAGAAGCAGCAGAGCTCCCACTCAAAGGCATTTCCTGAGCCATCTTCTTTGCACAAATCGAGGTTGTGATATAACACTTCTCTCGCTCACAACCTCGCTTTATACCAATGTCACTCATTCATGCATGTCGACACTCCGCCCACCTTTGTGCGTTATAATCATCTGCGCAGCTTTGTACACAATCGATAGCCCATGTCAAAAGCTATAGCTTGCTGATTGTATAAACTGCTCAGCTTCCGATATTTTGAAATCGCGCAAATTGCTTCTTCCTGGGAGATGTGTTTTAAGCCTTCAATAGCATCATCAACGTCCTGTAGAAAGGTTTGATCAGAGAGGTTGTTAAAAAAGACTCGATACGTCTCCCACAGAGTCACAATAATGTCGTGTTTGTATTGAGCTCGATAAAATTTCATCATCTCTCTCCGAAGCTCACCAGCAAGCAAGCATCCCAAAATAGTACACCATAACCACTGAAAACAATTAACAAATCAATAACCGTAACCGAAATCATTACCCATAGTCAGCGGTGTCTAACACACGGCAGATGCTATAGATGGCTTACTCATTGTCCCCTCCCGCCCACATCGCAATATTCATCATGTTTAAACTTGTACCGAGATCGATAATTAATTATGTTACAGATGACAATGAAGTATAAAGGATCATAAAAACTCGTTATACAATATATGCTTTTATTTTCAATTGAATAAACAATACACACTTT